CCGACTCCTCCGCGACCAGGGCGCGTGCCCGGCCCAGCACCTCAGTCAGGCTCAGGGCTTCCACGCGCGTGCTGGCCCTCAGCGCGTGCCGCACGGTCTCTGGCAAGCCAGCCACGAAGGCGCAGGTCAACCCTGTCTCAGACAGACTGTCAAACAGATTGGTCAGCCTGCGCAAGTCTGCAAGGAAGACATCGACGACTTCACCCTCTCCAAACACCTAACGATGAATTTTTCGTGACATGTTTTACACCGACAGCGAAAGCCGTGATCAGGGCGTCCTTTACCTCACTCGGCTTCGGCTTATACTCATCGGAAAGTTGCTGGTACACACCGAATGCCCCACCAGTAAGCCGGAGGGGAGTCACGTTTTGCAGGTCGCTAACTCCTTTCAGTCTGCACACTAGGTCCACTTTATCGACCCACTCCACAACGGATTCCTGGACACTGAGCCCCGGAATGATTCTCAAGTCAAAATTTCCAGGTTCCGCCATCTTGAGCGTATGCACCGAAATAGCTCGTAAGATCCAGCTAGCGGATCTCAAAAAGCTATGTCTTTGAGCCACACAGCACGGGACTCCTGTCCTCCAACCGCTTGCACAGCTCCGAAACCTGCCCTCCAAGCTCCGCGCCCCCGCGCCGCCCTGCCTACACGACACTGCTCTCGCCAATGTTTCGCGATGTTCCTCGCCCTCGCGCCCACTTCGCCACTTCTGCTGCGCACCAAATGCAGGTTTCACTGCACAAAATTACCGGTTGATTTCACGTTTTCATGCTCAGAATTTGCATAACACTAGGAACTAGCGACCGTGGAAAACTCCTGAAAAGTCAAGGTCAACCTTCAAGTCTCATGTCTCAAAGGACGGTGATCAAACGTCAGAATACTCGCCAGTGTAAGAACTAAGCGTTTGTCAAAAAGTCCTGAAAGCTCAAGGCCACCTTTGGCGGTCAAATTTACATTCAAAGGACGAGAACTTCATATTTTGAAAAACGACTGGTCGATTTCCACTTTTCGACCATCAGAACATTTAACAGTGCAAGAGCCGTCCATGTAAGTGTTCTGAAAATTCAGGGTCACATTTTAACCTAAAACAATTCACGGTCACAGGACGGAAACACCATCTTTAAAAAAAAATGCCAGTCGATTTTAGATTTTAAGAATCTTAGAATCAAGTTCACCGTGCGATGTCAAATTCGGGCTCAAATGACGAGAAACTACATTTCACTTAAAAACTTACCGGCCGACTTCCGTGAAATACCAGCAGAACTGCAGAACCACAAGTGCATGAACTAGCGTCCGTCGAGAGGCCCTGACGTTTAAAGGTTTTCATTCAAAGTAAACTTATTTAGCATTCATGACTTCATGATAACATCATTCAAATCCTGCCATTCCATAAGTGATGTGGTGATAAAGGCAAAAAAAAACAGTTGTCGAAAGATTCATCTCTGGCGTTTGTGAGCCAGATTTCCAGATATAACGGGCGTCGAATGGCTCTCAATCAACCTTGTGCGAAGTACGAGAATGCAGTCAAACCATAACGCATTGAAGAGCACATTTACTCAGCTGAGAACTGTTCAGGCCATGTGCCCCCTCGTGGTTACACGAAGTATCGCTCCCTCCGACCGCGAGATGCTCCCCGCCGCCGCCACCCCCGTCGGTGCGGCTCAGTCCCTGGTCTGGACGGTGACGCGGTATGGCTGCGGCTTGAGCACCAGGCTGGGACTCGGCTGCAGTCGCAGCTTCTGCAGCAGTCTGGCCGTGAACAGGAACAGCGCCTGGCGCGCGTGCGACTCGCCGATGCAGCGGCGCAGGCCCAACCCGATGCCGAGCAGCTGCTCCTCGACGGGGTATCCAGCGCATCGTCTCCTCGAGCACGGCCTCCAGGTACTGGGTAGGAAGGCATGGCTGGTATACCGTCAACGGCCAGCGGCCGGTCACGGCCAACCGCCTCGTCCAGCTCGGCGTTGGTGCGTGTCTATGCGTCCGAATGCAGCACCAATATCAGGAGGATAACCCACTCCATGGGGGTCTGATCGCCGCCATGCCGGCCCTCAGCAGGTCTTTGAGCAGGCAGGGCAGGTTATCCTCTGTTGTGCGGGGAGGGGACGGCAGCTCTCGTTGGTCCTGTAGGAGCGTCTACACCAGGTCGCGCGCCGGCTGATCCTCCAGCACGCTCTTGGCGTGCTCAGCTATCAGAGGTGGAAAGCGTGGTCACGAACGTGAGATATGAACGACTCGACAATCATATTTTGCTTGGCCTTGATCGTTGCATGCCAAAGGAATCACAAGATTTGAATGACGCTATTATGACGTCATGGATGCCTGGGTGACCTTGAAATAGTCTCTCAGTAATAGTCGGATCAGCTAACTACTCAAAATGAGACATTTGATTGTGCGGTTACCTGCATCACAAATTATATCAGACGAATTGTGGGAGACAGCTTCTCCAATCTGGATTCTTGCTTCTTAGCAGTCACAAACCCATTCGGGTGCTCGCCGCACTGCCGGCGTCATCGGCTGACCTGGGGCACCTGTTCAGCCGCGTCGACCTCGTGGTCATCGTCGATCAGGTCCACGATGACCGCAGAGTGTCTGGAGGTCTCCTGCCTTCCGCAAACCTACCGGCAAACGTTCGGTAACGACGCGACCGCCGTTCTCCAGGAGTTCTGCTCGCGGCCTCGAAAACGGGATACTGGTCTTCAACAAGCTCACCGCAAAGATTTGTTCCCGACGATTGCAACATACGTATGGTGTATTTGTGCATTCAAACGCCAAAATAAAGCAAATCAGCCTACTAGCTTCTACAAAGGGATGCACTATCAGTGGATTGGTCTGAAAGCGGCGTAAGCTATCGGATGCAGCAATGTCATTTGCTCTAGTTAATTATCCAAGCGTGAATTTCTTGAAGTTAGTGCTGGCAACTGATCCGAGGCAAAACAGGACTAGTGTTATGTTTTAATCCAGGGATTTTGTGTGCAAGCTGAATGATTAAGAGAGGAATGGCTGTTTCAGATACTGTACCTTTGATCTATCGATCCAAGGCACCAAAGTAAGTCCAATAAAGGTGTTGGGTGTTGCAGTGGCATGACAGTCTAAAGGACAGGCCACGAGAGCTAACACCACACGTTGCTCACGCCGTGCAGAGCTTGGGTTATGTGATAAGGTTATGTCTTCGGTGCAGATTAATAAGCCAATTGTGTGTATCCTGTGGTCTCTTCAGCGATTTCATAAAATCGAGCAACCAGAATCGGAGTTCTTTTAGCGTGGGCTGTCGCCGGTCTATTAAAATTGACGTCCCTTGGAGAGGGTACCCTCCCCTCCCCTCCCCTCCGATTGGAATTCCTGAATCCGCCCCTGCGAAAGGCATACGAGTATTTTTTTTTTGTTGGTTCGCAGGGAAGATGTATGCGTTGTGTTGAATAACATTCCTGATTTAAGAAAACATAAGTCCACGTTTGCTGAAACTCTCAGCGCTCGAAATTCCTAGGGTATGCAACTCACGCCAAGAAATATCGCAAAGAAAGATTATATGCGGCCAAGAAGGTGCCCGTGATCCCGTTTCGTGTCTCTCGTGGACGTCTGGAAGGTCGCACGCGCAGCAAACTGTGCAGCAGTCTGAACTTGCAATGGCTTCGTGCGGTTTCCAAATCGTGGTTGCAGCCCTCGCCTTTCTCGTGCGGTGACATGATAAACGTTAATAGACGGGGCATGCATGCGGACGTCATATATATATATATATATATATATATATATATATATATATATATATATATATATATATATATATATATATATATATATATACATATATATATATATATATATATATATATATATGAATATATATATATATGTATATTATATATATACATATATATATATATATATGAATATATATATATATATATATATATATATATATATATATGTATATATTATATATATATATACATATATATACACATATATATATTATGTATATATATATATATATATTTATATATATATGTGTATATTATATATATATATATATATGTATATATGACGTCCGCATGCATGTATATATATATATATATAGATGTATGTATGTGTGTGTGTGGTGTGTGTGGTGTGTGTGTGTGTGTGTGTGTGTGTGTGTGTGTGTGTGTGTGTGTGTGTGTGTGTGTGGTGTATATATATGAATATGTATATATCTATATATTTATGTATATTTGTATGTATGTTTCCACTTAAACGAGCATGTGAATGCCGAACAGGACAATGAACTCGACAACCCCATACCCGTTCATTATGAATCTTGTCGTTGCGCCTGCCCATAAATACACCGATATGCTGGGGGCTGATGCATTTTTACCCCTCCCAAGCAAGCGTCTGCAGTCAGTGAACACACCGCGCGAGGCTGCTGTTGCCATTTGTTATCATGCAAATACGGTCGGAATGAGGCCGCTTTCACCGGGGTCGGCTCCACCGCCCGCCACACGTTGCAATCAGATAGGCTGCGTCCCTACAGGTTCACGGGCTTAGCAGCGCCAGACGGGCGGCTCTGCAGCGGCGGCTGTGCAGCGTACCCAGGGTCACCTGAGAAGCGGACCTGCAGTCGGGACGCTACTGACGGCCCGAGAACAACGCTCGCGGAGCTGACCCCGAGTGGCCTGCTCTCGGCCGACGGCGCAGCAGCTGGAAGCAGCCGGAGGCTGATCTCCCGGGGCGTGCTCTGCAGCACGCCGACGCTCCCCTGATCAGTCACCTGTGTTCGGAGCAGCGGCTGGAGGCGGTCAGGCAGTGATCCTCTGCGGAGATCCCGGGTCATCTGGTGCAGCGCCTGGCGACAGCCACCGACTGGTCTCCTGGAGCGCCTCCTCCAGCTCACGGGACGGCGGCTGAACGCAGCAAGCGAGCGATCTCCTGGGAAGGCGCCTACGGTCTCCGCAACAGTGACCAGAGACAGCACGCGGCCGATCTCTTCAGGCGTCTCCTGCCGGTCCTTCAGAGCGGTACAGCGATGGCCGCCCTCCGGCTGGTGTGCCTGTACGGGCTGCTGCTGCTCGGTGGCGTCTCCTGCAGCACCGTCGCCGGCAGGTTCCTGTCCCAACTGCCGCAGACCATCTTCCATCCCTTCATCAACTTCTATGAAATTCATCTGGACCCGGAGGACTATCAAACCCTGACAAACGTATGTATGTATTAAAATTAGGGACACCCGACGCTGAGACAGCCATGTTGGCAAATGTCAAAACGTAAATGCTGACGAGGCGTTGTTGAGTCAAATCAGAAAAGAAAAGCATGTTTTACACACAGCCACCTAATGACCCAAAATACCCCCAACTGCGCCTCTAAAAGGGCCCAGGACCAAGTCGCGCGACTTTCTGTGGGTAGCGAGTGAGCGGGAAAAGAATGACTGTGAAAGCCCGGCGGGCAGCTCATTTCGAGTAAAGGTAGGTCAAGACACAGATAATGCCGAAAAGGCAGATATAACAGAGTTGCTGGGTTGCAAAGCCGACAATGGAGAAATGTCAAAATCGTGCTGAATTGTCTTTTTCGTTTTGATGAAAATTGGCATTACGCCGTTAGCATGTGCCATACCATATTACCCCGCATTAGCACTATTCAGCACCACTGGGATCGTTTTTGAATTTTCCGAGAAATAGCTCTCAATTATATATGATTCAGTGCCTATTGTAGGCCCTAATGTTGTCAAGTTGATTTGCCACTTAATGAATTAGATGACTGGCAAAGTTGTGTTGCCAAATGCTTAGGATCTCGTTTGGTTCTCCACACTAGTCTTGAGTAGCGAGTCATTGCACACGGACTTTGGTATGAGTCGGGCAAGGTTGGAGGGACATGACCAAGCCAGGCACGCTCAGGGGACGCGGAGCTCCACCAAGTTCTGATGATTGAAAACTAAGTCGAGTTATTTATAGAGTCATACCAAGCGGCATCAGTTTAATCATGAGAACCCTGTAGAATCCTCGTACTCTCGCGTCAGTCGTCTGTCTACACCAGAGACGCAGACCGATTTTCGTGGTGGGAAGAAGGGGGACACAGCTCAAATTTTTCCCTGTAAATTCTGTGCAGCGCGCAACGTTTTCACGCAGACGCCGAAATGTCTTGCATGGCGTAAAAAAGCGTCACTCTGTTTCATTGTACTTATTTTTAGATTCCCATTAGAAGTTTGTTCAGTGTTAACATTTATTCACACACGTAATAACGCACGCAACAAAAAATTATAACGAGGAATGCCCGTTTCGCTGGGTTTCGCCTGGCTTACATTTCAGGCCTACCTGCCAACCAGGAAAGGGTACAGTGTCTATAAAAAACGTCAAAAGTACTACCTCAGGGAAATGCTTAAATGCTTTAAACCGGTGCACTCCGTGTTGGTTTATTTGGCAGCAACGTTAGATGAGAAGTAGCAATTTAAGTGATTCCGCAAGCGTTTAAAAAGATACCCACTTCCTCGTGCTGAGGATGATATCTGTATGCTGTGCCATTCGGTTGTACAGGGATCGTGGGCCACCAAAATTTAAGGCGCTGGATCTTCTCAGACTGCACCCGGCATTACACCCCTGCTGATGCCGTGCCGGCACCCTCTGCGACAGGTCCCAAGGCTAGTGGCCACCGCCATCATGGGCATCGCCTACGGCCTGGCTATGCTCGGCCACCTCCCCGTCAAGTTCGGGGCCAACTCGGACGGGAATAAGGCGGCGTACGCTAAGGACCGGCCTCCGGGAGCCTATGGAGCCTACAGCTACAGGCGCCGACGCTCGGCTATGCAGCATATCAGATCGGTAAGGCAGGCGAGCTGCAGCCAGTCAGATCGGTAAGGCAGGCGAGCTCCAGTCAGTCAGACCGGTAAGGCAGGCGAGCTCCAGCCGGTCAGACCGGTAAGGCAGGCGAGCTCCAGCCGGTCAGACAGATAAGGCAGGCGAGATGCAGCCGGTCAGGCCGGTAAGGCAGGCGAGCTGCAGCCGGTCAGACCGGTAAGGCAGGCGAGCTACAGCCGGTCAGACCGGCAAGGTAGACAAGCTCCAGCTGGTCAGACATGTAAGGCTGACAACCTCCAGCTGGTCAGTTGGGTGAGACAGACAGCTTCAGCCGGCAAGACAGGTGAGGCAGACGAGCCACTCAACAAACACGACTGCTACACGTCCAAATAATGATAGTAATTAAAGTAGCGGCAGGATTTTTTTTACTGAATCAAGTGTAATGTGAAAAACTGCGGTGACGCTCCAGGTAATACAGCAACACTGCGCGAGCGCAGACCCATAGACGGGTCGTGGGAAGCTGCTTGCTTCCTTCCGTCTCAGGGTACCTCCGCCCTTGGCTTTCCTCGAACCTTGTTGACCGGTAACAAACACCAAGCAAACCGTTCACGCTTTACACGAAGCAGAATAACAGGCTATCTAGACTACCATTCACCAGACGGCGTAGGCCTGGCTTAGCAAGGACTGGAGCCTTATCGTTCCTAACATTCTGAATGCTGACGACTTTCCTTGAAAACGAATTTGGCATAGCTGTTCACAATGCGAGCCGCAGCATGATCTAGAGGCGATTCCAGACAGGATTTTGAGAGACATGTCAGGACGACCCATGGGGTTTTTAAGGCGAACGATGATGTTTACTTGACTGTACCCGCCAGAAGTTTAACTAAAATGAGCTAAAATAGGGCGGTTTATTACACCAAGGCTGATTACGTCTTAGTTATTTGTGATGCATGTGAACTGCCAGAGTCGACTCCAGAAACGAAAGGATGCAAAAGGATAGAAGAGGCCATAGCCCACACAAGCCCTGCTTAGTGTGAGCTCTGATACAGGGGAAAAGTGTCTTTTTGTCTCCGACAAATTTCGGGAAGGCCCGAATTGCCACCTTGGGCTAAATCTGCCAGAAATTTTTGCTATCTAACGTAATTGCAACAAAAAACACAAAACAAAAGGTAAAGGAAATGTGACGAGTCATAAACGTCATGAATAATCAGATTTCGGAAGGTGCGTTTGCACTAAAGTACCATTACTGGTCATGCCAAAAACCCCGGTGATTGGGGCGTAGGCCATAGTGCAGGATTTACTGGCACAGCGGGCTGAAGGCTGATGGGCGCATTGGTTCAGTGCAAAGCTTAGATGTCGCGTGTACGGAGAAGGACAAGAACATCTTTTGGTCATCGGCCGCACCACAGCCATAAAGGACACGTGACAAACCTCATGCGCTATCTCACGACATACTGGGGTAATACCCGTGTTGGAGAGAGCTCTTGCAGGGTTTAATCCATCCATAAAAATCACTCTCCACCGCTTTGCTATCAGCTGTACTCTCCTTTTATGCTACAACCCACATTACCTTAAGTTCAGAATTGATTTGTCGTCTTATATCACAGCTGTGGCCTACGTCTCTAATTGCAGTGTCGTAAATAAACTTTCTTTTTTCCATAAAACCCAAAGTTTACATTTCTGCCAATGTGCAATTTGCATGTGTATTTGTTCACACAATTTTAGTGAAATATATATAGATATATAAATAATATATACATAACTATATATATATATATATATATATATATATATGTATATATATATATTGGATAAGCAGAGCATAAGGGGATGAAATACAAGAAGATTTGCGTGCTTTTCACCTGTTGGCAACGTTTACAACTTTGACCCCACCCATTCATTTTAAGAAATCACACCCACGGTACGCAGCTTGTTTAAGAAAAATGTCTTACATACATACAAGAGCTGATTTAGTCGGCTGCGTTGAAAGAGGGACACATGAATGCCTGGTGGACCAATTCATGTCAGAAGCAGGCAATTTTGTCGAAAGTGTATTGGCTGCCGTATTGTGGTGTAAGGAAAGGTGATTCGGAAATAGATACCGTAGCAGGCATCCATCTGCTTCACACACCAATCAGCGGTGACGCTGATTTATAAACAAGCAGGGGAGCAGCCACACGATCATTTCGCAGTCACATGGGTGATAACCGGTCCATGGCAATGGCCGCTGACGGTGGACGGGAGCAGGGCCCAGACAAGGAATATCCGGGAGAATGTCCTACACTCTGTGACTTTTCTGCAGTGGAAAACCGAGGCTGGTGGCTTTTGTTACATTATTTTTGGCAGCTGATATTTAAAGCGTTCGAACTGCTTTCTGCCTAAATACTGCAACAAGACCTCGGTTTGTAAAGCCGTGTGTGCCAGGTGACCTGCGAGAGCAGGGTAGACCGTGCCGAACATTGCGGTACATTGCGAGCACTTGGCGGCTTTTGATGCAAAGTCTATCGACCCGGAATTAAACGATCGGATGGTAGAGTGTCTGGTCAGTGTGGGCAATATCAAGGTCGCAAAAAAATGTAGAAATGTGAAAAACGGCTGCGTGAAGCTTTCGGTTATTCAATGCTGTCGGCGAGGAGGCGTGTCCGAATGCAGACCGGTCCCGGCGCGGAATTCCTTTAATGATATGGGGAGAAGGTTTTCAGTCCTACATTGTGCATGATGAAGGTTCCCAGATAAAGGATAGCCCACGTTTTACTCAGCAGTGGCATGCGTATTTTTCACACGATCAAGACTGCAGTGGCATTTTAAAGGCTGTGCAATGACAAAAGTAGGGTTAGCAGCAATAACAGTCATCAATGATCTCGCATTCGTCACATTGCAAAGAAAAAACGTTTTTTGAGGACGAAAACGAGGATCCTGTCAACACCATCTCAGAGCGCCACATCACTGCCGCTCTGATGTCCTGAGCGACCCTGAGGCGATTCCACGGGATCGGTAGGGACGGCAGCGGCTCCAGCAGGTTGGCACGACACCGCGCATGCCATGCGTGCCGCGTCGCTCGATCGTGTTTCCTGGATTAGATGATGACCTATCCCTTGGCATGCACATCAGCTTAAGACTGCCGTTATGCGGCTTTCCACTCGCCTGACCTGTCGCCCCTGATCACAAAGCCACGTGGACAAGCCAGCTTATCGTCAAAAGCTCCTGGCCGCCTTTAGACTTGAGGTGGGACACGTCACCGCCGACAAGAGTAACTTGACAATCGACCACCTGTAGCGGGTTCAGCTGACGCGTGCTTTCGACCGCCAGGGAGTCAAGTGGGGCATCTTTTGTTGTCACGATATGACGTATGTGGAATCTCTGACGACGCGCACTATTGCTGTACATGTTTTCATTGAAGTAGCAGCTGTTGCCCCCTTACAGTGTCAGTGCAACGCCTGGCATCGCCTCTGCCATGCCGGCCACCCGCCCCCTCTGGTGGGTCGGGCTGAGAGTGCCCTCGGGGCTCGCGCTCAGCGTCGCTGGCACTCACTCACGTCTGTTGGTGCCGGGCAAGACAGCTTTTGTCTCGACAGCAGTCGGATGCTACCACATCCGCGATTGTGCGAGCTTTTCACTCTCGAGGAAAGCATTGGTTAACTTTTACCTGCGCCACCCAATGTTTTAAAAAACCGGCGTACATTGCTGCCTCGATCCACCTGTGTTATCTGGCGAAAAACTGTCCAGCATTCGCAGACTGGTCAAATATATCCTGGAGTTCGCGTCGCAAAAACATGGCAAAATGGCTTAAGCAGCCGACGCAGTCCTTAATACCAACCAATGGCTGGAACGTGAGGTGCGTAAAAACACCTACATACTATTTGGCACAAAATAGGTACAGTGATGCGTGCTTCGCAGCAGAGTAATCACGTTCGTCGCAAGGTGCTGAGGCCAGCCATGACTCTTACGACTAGAAATAAGCCCAGTTGTTTAGGTATTTTATACAGCTTAGTATGTGAAGAAAATCTCGACTGAAAGATTTGTGAAAAGCATTGATCTGAGGGTCATTGGAAGAGCAGTGTGTCACCACTGATCTGTGGCGTCCGCCCTGATCTAATCTAGTTTGTAGTATATTTCTGTCACCTCCTAAAAATGATCCTGCTTAAAGCTGCTCAGTATTTGACAGTATTTTGTGGCTCAACTTGCTCATACACCGCAACATCGATGTTTCCTTGTTTACTACACATATACTTACGCTGCAAGTGTCGGCGAGTACACCAATACGAATTTTTGAGTGTCCTCTAACTGAGATGGTCGCTGTAATTTGTTGCCATTTTCGCATCTTTGTCACCAAATATCTCACAAAACCTTCCATTTTTGTCACCGATCATATTCTGTGAATCGGAGGCTTTTTACCCATATTCTGATTCCACAAATTGATCCATTCAAAAGGCTTGAATAAAACGTTTGAAGAAACAGTAGGAGTTTCAGTGCTTACTGTCCAAATGGGCCCCGATAGTAGAGATTTTGACAGCTTCCGTTTATGAAATACATGCAAATAACATCTAAAATTACTCGTGCAAGAGCTACGGCAGGCTATTAGGCTGGGAAAGCTGCAGCGAGCATCGGTTTTTGAGCTTAGCTGTTTGGAAATATGGCTGTGCCAGCTTTTTGTTTTGTAGTCGCTGGCATCATGCACTGGGTCGATGATGACTTCTAACCCCTGTCCTGCCCGGCAAAATGAAGCTAATTTTTTAAGGAAGGCAGTAGCAGGCAAAGTCAATGTGGTATGCATTGCAATGTCTATTCCGAAGCTGATGGGTTTAAGCTCATACTCATCATTTCAAATGACCGCTAGGCACAGCTAGGTGTAAAAATCATGCAAAACTGTGCAGGGTGACGATGCCGGGAATATCATATTGTCAAGAAAGTATTGATGCAAACAGCTACTGAATTTTTTGAATTTTTTTAATTTCATTTATTTATTTTATTTATTTATTTATTATGTTTATAAATTTATGTTATATATATATATATGCATATATTTATAACTTATATAAGTTTTATTTATTTATCATTTATTGAATTTCATTGAATTGAACACCAAAGATACCGCAAAGTTGGCATCTAAAGTCATTAAACACGTAGCCTGAGTAATGACACACAAATTACCATGCACCTGTCTATGTTTCGGAGGTGCATCCAAGCACTGAGTTTGGAGGGATACCCCCAGGCGTATCACTGAATCCACCCTTTGCAATGAGATAACCATAATTATGCACTCGGGTTTCATAGACGCACTCCACCCCAGTGCACACCAAAAAAGTCCTGAGTCTGCCTACGATTCATGTATAAAAGCAAAAATTTCCCCGTGGATGCAAAACAAAAAGTTGGGAAAGGCCACTAGGCTAAAAGACGTAAGCTCAATTACCACGCGAGTGCCGCGCAAAACAACCAGGGGTCCGAATCGCCCGCTCCCTAGACAGGGATAGAGTTTAGAAACGTTGATAGTTATGGATAACTGCGGTGCCAGGCAACATGGAAGAGGGACCATTACCTCACTGCGAGATTTTGGTAAGTCTTCCAGTGTCCGTTACGATGACTTGTCCGGTACTGCACCATTGCTTCGTCTAACAAAACTCCACAGGGACAGGGCAAGGTTACACAAAACGAGGGGCGTCATGCACTTCGTTTTGTTAAATTATTCTCGTGTACCGGCACAAAGTACTTTGACAAGGCCCTTTGGGTGACTTTTAGACTGAACCCCCTACTTGTCATTCGTGCAGGCACAAATGATAAAGGTAACTGTATTGGCACAATCTTTCCCGTGTAAAAGATCGGGTTAGCACTCGTCACAGCCTTGCTAGCATTGAACAGAGCCGACACGGTCTTAACGGACCTGATCCATTTAACGCAACTTAGCCCAAGATGTAGCAAAACATCAGGCTCCACGCTCTAAGTCACGCGCCTCTTTCGCAGCTCTTGCTCTTTATATTTAGATGCACCCTCCAGACATTGAGGTTGAAGTTTAAATGAAAATCAGACCTTAGTCTGAACATAAGGTTTTCTTAATCCGAAGCCAGACTGATAGTGTCATGAGTCTCGGTCAGATTTCATATTTTTCCGAATTGGAAAGTTCGAATACGAGTCCGACTGATTCATTAAATGGATTCATGCAAAGCGAATGAATGCTTTATTTAGAAAGTGATGTTCATCGGTAGGATGATTCAACTTGTTCCGAGTCACTGAGTTTATGCGTGGAAGTCGGAGGCCGGACGGATTCAGATCCATCGCTGGTCAAAGGATTGCTGGAAATATTCGTGTCCCTTTATTTGTTAATGCAATTTCATTGAGATTATTGCAATAAAAAACGATACACAATATCGTGCATGATAATTTCTGCTAGCATTATCAACCCGTAGATTGTGGCCGATGATTTTGCTCGCAAAGGTTTCCTAATAAAAAGCTTCACTAAAAAAACTATTGGCACGGCAACCGGGCGGGGGAGGGAAAGAGCAAGGATAACTCGGTTCTTAGATTTATGTAAAAATTTAAAATATACCATGTCGCTAAGGATGAATGGGAATATCTTTGAGAAGGGCCAATTAGTGCCACTTTTAAGAAAGATCCAACGCTCCTGCTTAAAAACTCTTGATTCATCACAATGATTCACACGGGCAATTACCTTAGATATACTGTTGGGTCGTAAAGATGATTTTGCATGAGGAAGCTACTTGAGTGTGCAGCTTCTCACTCACGGAACCTTAAGTACACATGATCGAACTATTCTGAAGAGTGGCGCGTACTTGTATACGTCTTGAATAAATTTCTGGCAAAGACCAGCTTTCTGGGCAATCCTGATCAATCATTTTGTCATGAACTGATAACTTATCACCCCGATGTGTGGATTTGAAACGTAGCCCCAGTGATGCCTTAAGAGGATGTAACTCATCCAGACTGAGGACAGCCTGGCATTGTTGCTGTTGGCCTTTACCACCGGCAACTGTACCCTTTTAACTTCTAGAACTGCAGGGATAATTGCTGCGCAGACATGGCTGATGCAATAACACATGTTTTCTTTCAATGTATTAGTTTGTATGAAGACACGTCTGATAGTGCAATCATTGGCCGCAAAGTCGCAGTGCAGTGTGTTTTTTTTTAAGCGGCGGAGATCTATGAATAGCAACGCAATGGTTACTCGCTTCATCTCGCACTCGTGATTTTGACTGTGCCGTAAACCACAGCACCCACAGCCATGCTTACCTGCCCACAGAGGACCGAGATGGACTTGTGCGTGATGCGTCTCGTGTGCGAGCTGAGCGTCGAGTACCGCGACGACCCCAGCCGCTTTCACGCCATTGAAGAGGCAGTGCTGCGCAGGATATTCCGGTGAGGCACGGCGACGAGCTCAGTGACCATTTACCAAAGCGGAAAGCTGACGAAGTCAGTTATGATAATTTTTTTATTTATTATAAGGCCGGCATTTGTCCGGTCCAATGCCGTCTTTATGTGATACGTAACGGCTGATGAAAGAAATACACATATGCACCCCAATCATGACGTGCTTGTTAAGCCGGCATTCTGTAGGCATGCGTAAATCGCAATCTGCTAAAAAATAATGTGCCGCGTATTGCAAACGTTTAGGAACACATCAGTTCCAATGCATTGCGGGTGCATTATTAAGGCTGTGGATTGCACAACTCATCTGTGACAGGATCTCATGGCTGCTGTCCTGCAAGGTGACCCCATTTCTGGACGCCCTTATAGACCATTACATTACATGATATCATTACAGAGGGCATTTGTATGCGTGTGATATCGCCTTCTGTATGAAGGCAAATGAAACATGTAGTGGTAGATTACGGACACATTCAGGCACAATAAGTCAGTGTTGGATGACGTGGCAGTATTCGGTTCTACTTTTACTGAGAAAACATCCAGGGGAGGTAGATCACAAACTGCAGCTGCACCGATCAACTGCACAATTGCGAAGCATGCAACAGCGTTTAACAACATGGGAAAAGTAAATCACGCAAAAAACCTGGCTGTTGTGTTGCCCCAGCGATCTCAACAGTCAGCGGTTGCAGCTAGTTTAGACTCGCGGTCAACAGGCCCCACACAGGGCCCGAGGCCGTAGGGATTGGTGCCCGGCGTCCGATGCCCCGCCACTGCCCTTCCCAGGGGAGGTGAGCAGTCGGCCGACAGGACCAGCCCTCAGCTCGAGGAGGGTACCGGTGCTGCCAGCCCGGTCTGCCAGCAGTGGGCCTCGCCGTGCTCCGTCAGCTGGATACTAAACAGTCTCACCGATCGCCCACCAGTTGATAGTGGTGAGTCCCTTGACGATGCGCCCGCTCACTGGTCGCCGACAGTCTGATAGTGGTGAGTCCCTTGATGATGCATCCGCTCACTGGTCGCCGACAGTCTGATAGTGGTGAGTCCCTTGACGATGCGCCCGCTCACTGGTCGCCGACAGTCTGATAGTGGTGAGTCCCTTGATGATGCATCCGCTCACTGGTCGCCGACAGTCTGATAGTGGTGAGTCCCTTGACAATGCGCCCGCTCACTGGTCGCCGACAGTCTGATAGTGGTGAGTCCCTTGATGATGCACCCGCTCACTGGTCGCTGACAGTCTGATAGCGGTGAGTCCCTTGATGATGCACCCGCTCACTGGTCGCCGACAGTCTGATAGTGGTGAGTCCCTTGATGTTGCATCCGCTCACTGGTCGCCCACAGTCGGATAGTGTTGATTCGCTTCAGATTGCATCTTCTCTTTGGTCATCAACTCTCTGACAATACTGGGTCACCTGGTGCTACATCCCTTCAACGGAAAGCTGTCTCAGGCATGCAGACGGCAATGAGCTTCCTTATTCTGCGTTTCCTCACGAGCCGGTAGGCATCAATTGTCGGACAGAGAGTCCACGTAGAGACGGCACGTCATTACGTGCCACCGACATGGGTATATTACAACTTTCAATTGGAATTCAGTTGCATCCAGCATCTCAGAACTTAAATATTAGCACCATGGCGTTGTGTGGAAAGAATGGACCCGAAAACCGTATTTGCCTCTGCAATTTTTTTTATTTTAAAGTTTCTCCTCTGCCGCCGACCTTATCGGGAAGAAATAATCCCTCAAAATGTCTTCTCATGGGCCACCCACCACCTGTCGATGTTGCAGCCCTTGATACTGCCCCTCTCACCGTCCCCTCACCCCCTCACGCGTCTCTGCGGCAGAGGGCGGCGCTCAGACGTGAGGCGCTCGTCACGAGACCCGGCGTCACAGGGGACGTGGCTCCACCGCGAGCCGGCCCCGGCGCAGACGTCGCCGCCGGCCGCTGCGCTCCGCCGACCCCCCTCAGTCGTCTGCCGGCCGCGTTAGGGTGTTCTGTTACGCAGTGTTCTAGGTGCTCTTGTCTGTTACGAGGAGTAGGCATATGTGGTGCTTGTAGGTTGGGTTGGACCATTGGCCGTTGTTATTTATTTCGCTTGTTTTATCGTTGACAGTTAAGTCAATGGCTAGGGTATGAATGCGTAGGCATATGCCACCTCACATCGATTGAATGTGTGTGCTTTTGGGTAGCGTACAACAGAAACAGTCTCGCAAGTCATTATTGTTTATTTGTTTTTGGGGGGCATAAACAGTTCATAGGCAGAAGTCCAATTGCGGAAGCAGTCCAGTTTGAAAACAATGAATACACGATACACCCACAGGCAAAAAACCTAACCACACACACATGGACACATACATACGTACACATTACATACAGTCACACACATACCTTACACGCTCAGACACAACGGTCATCAAAGAACGCTCCACGAGTGCCGGCGAACCTCAGCAAATCATATTGAAATGATCGTGTTGGCTTGATAAGTCAGTTGAAGGAGATTACTGTAGAAAACGATTGCAGGCAAGGGTTAGATGTGTGGTAAATCCATTTCAAACCGTGATGACCCCTGCAAATGGCTTGTGGAAAATGCGGATGTAGCCAGACCGAACAGCGATGTCAGGTAAGCACAGTCAAGCCTGTGATGATACACGCTGAATATAAATTAGATGTCAGACTGAATAAAACATACTTTGATGGATGCCGTTTGGAATTAACGAGAGGGAGCTCATAATCCAGTGGAGGACACTGGGGCTGGGTACTCGCACCCAAACACATGACCAACTGGTGTTGTAGTCTTTCGAACCGGGCGAGATGGGAAACGGGAGCACCGCTCCAAATAACGCTACCGTTCCCTATCAATGACCTCACGTGAGTGCTGAGGGCACGCAGCGAAGCCTTATGACTGAACCGCGCTCGACTAGGACACGACGGCATTTGCACGCTTGGCATGAGAAGGCTCAGCATCGTGTTTGCTTTTGAGACAGTCGAATCTACGTGATTGGCGAAGAGAGTTTGGTGTCCAGCAAGACGTCAAGGTTCGCAATTCTGCTGGCAGCTATCCAAGCAGTGACCGCTTAGTCCTTATGAAGAGTGAACAGGTGACGTGCGGAGGATGAATGAGATGGTATTGCACTTAGCTGGGTTCAAGTTCAGTCCCCAGTCTCCGGACCATCCACAGAGACGATCCAAATTGGCCCAAAGTATGAGCCAACGCGCTGAGTTGTCGATTCTGTGATAAATTTTCACATCGTCAGCGTACTTAAGGCACCGACTCAAAATTAAGACTTGTTGCTAGGTTCGCACAGCATACGCCGTTGTTCATATTTTATGTTGGTGGCCGTGCACATTGTAAACCCGTGAACAACAGCGCACCCATAAAACATTGTAGCACGATTTCTCCCTGTTTGACATTAACTTATCCTATTACTGATCAAGTGTCAGTTTGGGAAAAGCGATGCCAACGATAAGCCTCCCGAACGCCGATGCTAGAGGTGCAGTTTCCTACTCAGTAGGGTTTTATTCTTACTCTGCGGTCATAGCATTGCCACAAATGTATTGTGATGCCCAAGCCACAGCAAGCTTAGGCTTGCAGCAGCTCGGCGGAGATCCTTCAGGCCTGAAGGTATCTTGCATATGCAACACAATGCTCCCATGCCTTTTAAGTACATACACATATGAACAGATCTGCTCACCTTTCGCAAAGCAGGCAATCTGAAGCAAAGCAAGGAGAGGGAATAGCACAGCAATAGTTGAATAAATTCCGGACTTATGGTAAGCTGCTAGAAACAGAGAAGGACTGAAGCGCTCACGGAATACATCTGCGTGAGATTATTTTCTTCGCACTCATGTAAATACTCGCGTGCTCGACCACTTTGCCGTGCAATCTCTTCAAAAACATGACGTCTTATTTGAGTGGCCATATAGATGTATTCAGCGTGCGAGTGCAATCTTCATTCACCCGTTTCGAGATTATTTTTTGGAAGCGCCGTAACTCCGCTTCAAGACGCTCACTGCTCCGGCATTGCTGTCTTTCCCCCAGATGGCCCGATACTGGGGGCGTTGCAGTGTGCCCGTTTCCCAGTCGTATCTTTAGGCGCGCGCGCCTACCACACGATGGGCTGGGCTATACGTTATTACTTGCTGAATGTATGCTCAACCGGCTATTGCATGTCGCACGGCCGACTATCGCATGTCGCACGTCCTTCTATTGCACGTCGCACGTCCGACTATGGCATGTCGCACGTCCGACTAGTCGCACGTCCGACTATTACATGTCGCATGCCTGATTATTGCATGCCGCACGTCCGACTATTGCATGCGCATCTCCGACTATTGCATGTCGCACATCCGACTATTGGGGTGGCTTGCGTAGCAGTGCCCGCAGTGTCACTCTTCTGCCACTGGCGGATGGTCGCAATCGTAAACAAACATTATGGACTCGGCAAGAAAATCGCCACGCAGTTTAAAGCCATGGGTCCGTTCTGAGGAATGCTATGATCACTTTGCAATATGAACAAAGCATTATACCTGTACAAACAACGCATTTTTAAGTGTTGGTCGCGCCGAAATCTGCTCGTTTTGTTTTGGCTTCGGAATTCGAGTTGCATTGCCTACCAGACACGAGAGTGCTCCAGCTCCACCGCTCATCTGCACTCCTACTCCCGCCTGACGCCTGAAATCCTGAGAGGAAGTCCACTCGCCAGGGGAGCAGCAGACTCTAACGGTCGGATCGACTGGTTGCACATGTAAAAGTCTCCGTCGTCATGAGGAATGTGCTGGACTTGTAATCCAGTGGCACTGGGTACCAGTCTCATAACCGGCGCATTGCTTGGCCCATTGCTTGGCCCTTGGCCCGACTGAAATCGAAGCGACAGCTGGCAACTGACCAACGAGGGTTAACCCAGGTCTGGAACGGCTGTGCCGCAGCATTGTGCGGCACGCGAACCCTCCGTACTTGTGTCTGGCGAAAGGGCGGAGGCGAAACTATCCGTTGAACTGGAGGGCACAGCTTGGGTGGCGGCTTCAGACCTCAGGGCATACGCAACAAGCTATGCTTAGCATGCATTCTGCACCGAAAACCACTAATGCAAACCATTCGACACACACACACACACACACACACACACACACACACACACATATATATATATATATATATATATATATATATATATATATATATATATATATATTTCATAGGCGTGAGTTCGATCAGCGGGCTCCGTTCGGCCGCGCAGACGATCGGATGACGTATAAGCCCGCCCTGGGTAAAGGCGGCAGAGAAATGTGCCGAGCGCTGCATGCCTGCAGCAGGGCTGCCGCTGTCCAGGGCGCCAGGACAGGCGTGCCTGCAGCAGGGCTGCCGCTGTCCAGGGCACCAGGGCAGGCATGCCTGCAGCAGCGCTGCCGCTGTCCAGGGCACCAGGGCAGGCGTGCCTGAAGCGCACATCGCGCTGGAAACATGTACCTGTCAGCGACGTCAAATACAAATCGCCAGCGCCTCTGCACTTGCAGCGCGCGTATCGGCAGTCCATCAAAGTCGGACGCGGCGCCCGATGCAGTCGCGTCGGCGGCGGCGGCCACCGGGGCCGCTCTGCAGCGCTGTTTCCGGGCACGTGACCGCAGCAGGGCTCCAAAACCGGGCGCCGCGGTGACCCACAGACCTACCTGGCGATGTCAGTGCCCCCGAGTCGCCCGGCGGCTCACCGCTCCACACCTCGGCATGAGCAGACACGGGGCGAGGGGGGGGGGGGTGGTCCGGAGCCGTGACCGCCAGCCACCGCCGCCCCACCATTGATGTATGCATACATACATACATATATATATATATATATATATATATATATATATATATATATACCGTCTGTTACCAACTGGTTCGGTTTATCGGAATATGTTAGGGAGTACGCAGTGCCTATATTTGTCCGCCTTTGGCTGGCGCCGCTTGGACATCATATAGACATTGGTAGGATCACGCAGCTGTCATTACCCCATCACTAATACAGGTATCAAAAGCACGTCATATATATAATGTGTGTGCCGGTGTGGGTCATGCAGCTATCTCTTTATACTCGCACGACGCTCAGACGCTGCAGCCTGGTGAGCAGGTTTTGGGGCGGATATGTGAGGTTATATGTGATCTTGGGTTTAGTGTATTGCTGCTCAGTACCGTTTTAATCGGAAGTCTGGAATTTCTAATCCCAATCCTGGTCATGCCTGATCGTTTGTTGCCAACTGGTCCGGTTCATCGGAATTTTTTAGCGGGGGCGGATCTAGCCTGGAGTTTTTTAGGGGGGGGGGGGGCAACCGTTCGTCGCCAGCTGGCTGGTATGGGATCCAAGGTCTAGTGCACTTATAAAATGCGATGTTTGCGCCGAGTATGACTAAGCCGCGTCAACGTGCATTTTGTTTTGATATTCAAATCACTGCCAACTTTTCTTCATGAAGTTTTTTTTCCGAAACGGAAAGAAATATTTGATACTGCACCATCAAAGTTCAAACAGACGGCAAGTAGATGAAACTTTTATGAAGTTCTGGGAACGTTTTTTGGGGGCCAAAACATACTCTCAGAGTTTTTTGGGCGCCATGATCCCGTGGCCCCCTCCGCCAGGATCCGCCTATGTTTATTAGGGATTACAACAATGCCTATACCTGTCCGTCTTCAGCTGCTGCCGCCTGGCCACCGTATAGGCATTGGTAGGATCATGCAGTTGTCACTTCCTCATCTCCAATGCAGGCAACAAAAACCCGTCAAGGCGTCGCATTCCGGATATTTTCTGTCCCAACAGCTTTGTCCGTGAGGTGACGAAGTGCAGAACGCGTTCATGTCTCGCAAACGCCTTGAAATGACAGCAGGACAAATATACGGAGTCTTTCAGGGCAAGACAGTGCAAGAAGTTGTGATTATGTATGGGCCATTTTAGATGCTTGGAGCGAATATTGGTATTCGAATCGCAGCCGCTTCCATGCCCGTCACCAAAGCGATGCATTTGAAACGTCCCAAATATGTCAAAACGCTCCAATTCATTTATGAAAAATATCATGCGGAAAGTAATTGCGGGATAATTTTTTAGTAGTCAAACGTTGTTCAATAGCATTGCTTTAATGTTAAACTTAATGCAGCTGAAATCTTGTTAAGGGAATCTATTGGTCGTTCGATGGACTGCCCTGGGATATCACAATTCGCCTATCGGCAATGATGTCCAAGAGACACCCTAACGACGCTACATCACAACAAAGCAGGGCTGTACCATGACGTGCGTTAAAATTCGTAACGGAATAGCTGTTTGCTGTCCAGATATAACCCCACTGCTGCACTCTTTTCCCAAAACGGGATCACGGTAGATTCCACCAGTTAGTTACAAATGTTTGTCGTTGGCCGTCACTTGGACGGGTATAAAACTGCATTGCCTTTCAGGAAAATCATCCTCAGGTTCTTTATAAAACCATGAAATATGGCAAACGTGAATTTCACATCTGTCCACAGGAAAGACGACATGGCTGTCAACTGCCCAGATATCGCATATTTTATTATGTTGCAATGTTCAGCAATTACCCGCGGCTGGCCAACGGGGATTCCCCTGTTCTTTGTCTGAAAGCTGAACACAGCACGGCAACGCTCGCTAATCAAGAAAGTGACGTCTTAGGAGCGTCGCAAACATGTTAATGGAGGGTGAAATGTATACCGCCAG